GCGTAGGACAGGAGTGTGCTGAGGGGCAACAGGCCTCTCTACTGCAAAATCCCCATCTTTCCCTGGTCCTAACAGCTGGAGAGGTGAGTTAATCAGGCCCTCACCTGAGATGTAACCCCCGCTTGGACACTGTGGTCTATGCCAACCATGCCTCAGCAGGCACGGTTTTAATTCGACCAACACTTAGCCGAGAGCAATCTCAATTTTTATCGTGTACTGTGGAGGGAGAGAAGGAAATGTAGGACCAAACCGACTTTCAACACTTCTGTCCCCGTTTTTTCCTCATCTCTAAAAGATGGTCCCGGCTTGAGCCTCCAAACCAATCCTCTCCTTCTGGAGAGTGTCAGACTTCGGTCAACGTGGCAGGTGCAACGTTCACGACTTGCACCTGTGTTCCTGTAACATAGTCCTTATATTTTGGACCCAGCATCTCTGCCCAGATAACTTGCCTAGGGTTCTAGTTCCTCTGAGACCTAGGCTGTGCTCTGTTCTATTCAGTCTTGAGAGGTAGGGACCCCTGTCAGGCTTGAGAAGGCATAGAGCGCGTCTTGCCCAGCGCCCCCTGCTGGCTGCAACGCCCACCCAGCCCCGTGCTGCTGGATTCCACTGTCCCCACCATCTGCTCAGGCCTTGTCCTCCTAGAACCTGACAATCCCCCAAGCAACGGCCCCTACCAAACCTGTGTCTGGTTTCTGGATCCTGGCCCCTGTGCATCTGGTGTGATGGGCCCATCAAACTCGCAGTGCTTGCTTTTACAGTAGAATCACTGAGGCAGCTTTTTAGATATGCAGATGCTTGGGTTTCTTCCAGATTGCCTAAAGCAGGCTTTCTAGAGGGAGGTCCAGGATACACGTATTTAAAAGAATTCTCCAGAGAAGTCTCCTGTGTACCCAGGGACACTACTTTATATCAGTTCCTCTCAAAATTCCATGTGCACACACATAACCTGGGAATGTTGTTAAAGTGTACTTGCTGATTCAGTAGGTATAGGTAGGGCCTGAGATTTTGCACTTGGGAGCAAGATCCCAAGTGATGGCTTTGATGTTGGTAAGGCTCCAGACCGGTGGTTCTCAGAGTGTGGCCAAGAACCTCCTGGGGACTTTGTAGAGAGGCAAAATTTCAGGACCCTCCCTTGACTTACTAAATCAGAACCTGGGCATGGAACCCAGAAATCTGTGTTTTGACAGTTAGAGACCCCCTGGCCTCCCCAGTGCTCCCGATAGAAACTAATGCCAACCTCGATAGATTATTTAAAATTTTCTAGTTATGTTTTAAAAAGTAAGAAGAAACAGGTAAAATTAATTTTAACAAAATAACTTATTTAATCCAATGTCAGAAATATCCTTCCAACATACATGAATATAAAAAAATTAACTTGGTCGTGTATGTTCTTTTTCCATGCTAAGTCTCCAAAGTCCAGGGTGCATGTTACACTTATGTGCTGTCTCCGATCTGACTAGCCACATGTTAAGTGCTCAGTTGCCACGGGAATCCACCATATTGGACAGCAAGTTCTAGACTTACAGCAGTGATAACAGCATTAGCTTTTATTGAATGCCCGCTATGTATCAGGCCTTACTTAGTCAAGCATCTTATGTGCATTATTTATATGAGCCCTACCCCCCTCTATGGACTGGTACTGTTATTATTCCCACTGTATGCAGAGGAGGGGTTAAAGCCCAAAGCCCTATGTAGTGTTTCACCAATATAAGAAGCGCACTCTAATATAAGCATTTCCCAATTATTTTAAATCAATGTATTTGTTAAAAAAGAGAAAGATTTAAACAATATAAATAAAATAATTAGCATTGCTGCATTTAGTACAATTGTTAAGACATCAATAGCTTATAAAAGGCATAGTAGTTGGGTAAGTAGAAAAGTCCAACTTTATTCTCCTCTAACCTTTTAAAATATGCCCAAAGTCCAACATGTCCTTTTCTGTGACATCAAATCTAGTGAAAAAACGCGTGCTTATTGGCAGGCTGGTTGACCAATGGGGACCCTTGGGGAACAAAGGAGACCTTGGATGAGTCACATGGCAGGGTTAAATTGATCCCAAATAGAAGCAGCTAGCAGGGTCATAACCTACTCATTCAAATGCAGATTTTGATAGAAGATCACTCTACCAATAAAACCATTCACCACATAATGGTGTGCCGGTCAGCAATGGTCCACACATACATTGGCGGTCCCACAAGATTATAACGCAGCTGAAAAATCCCAATGGCCTACTGATGCCACAGCCTTTGTGATGTCATAGCAACCCCCTAACATGTTTACAGTGATGCTGGTGTAAACAAACCTACTGCACTGCTAGTCCCATAAAAGTACAGCACATACATTTAGGTACAGTACCTAATACTTGATGATAAATGGCTATATGACTGGTTTATGTATTTTCTGTACTATACCTTTTGTTATTTTAAACGGTACTCTTTCTACTTTTACAAAAAGTTTGCTGTTGTTAAAAAAACAACACTCAACTGAGTAAATGTGAAAATCTAAGTGGCTTTATTAAGTGATTTATGGCTCAGCAGCCTCCCATCTAGCGACTAGAAGGGTGCTGTGGGGGGTTGTGCCATATGGGAAGAAAGGTAGGACGGGGGAGCTATTAAAAATGATTATTTGGGGGCAGGACACGTTTTCCTTGGGAAAAGAGAACAGGAAAGGGTTTTATCATGCAGCTTGCCTCTTCTTTCTTCGGGATGGAGAGGGCGCATGTGACCGATTACCTGACTGGTGCTTGACCAGAAAATTCCAGACTGGCTGAGTAAGATTCCTTTTCTGGGAGAGGCTGAAATGGCAGTTAGATCAGGTATTACATCTCGTTTGGTGTCATGGGCTTTTAGCAGGAGCAATGCCCTTTTGGGCCCGGGGTTTCCCTCTAACACTGTGAAGCAGTGTGTCGCTCTGTGACACAGGCGGTAGCCCCATGCGTGTCCTGTGTTTATCGCATCTCTTGATAGCGTCAGTTTTCTCTGGTGCTTGATTTAATCTTAGTTGTTTTGTACAATAGCTTGCTGTGCAGGTCCGCAGCCTTGGAGCAGATGGCCGAGGTGAGTCGCAGGCTAGGTTTGCCTATGGTGCTCCCACAACCAAGCCGCCTGAGCGCAGATTTCTCGGAAGACAGCCCCCTGGGATTGGAGTCAAACGCGAGGCAATGCATTGACGTGGGAAACAGACAGTTTGGAATTTAAAAATAATGATTGATTTAGTAGTCAAATAGTTCATCTTTATTAGTTCCCTTAATCTCCATATTTTCTCAGGGAAGGCCAATTTTTAAATGTATTTCCTTTTTTATTATAAACTACTATAAGGAGGAAAAAGTAAAGACAATTTAAAATGTACCATCTGAGGCTAGGCTTCCATTTTTTTTTGCCAGAATTACCATTTATCATTTTGAACAAATAATGTAAATATCCTATTTATCCTATTTTAAACTGACAGATATTAAAGACATATCAAAATGTGATCATTTAAAATAAATGAACAGAAAAATGAATTATTCTACAGGGAATTATTAAACTCTGTTGTATATATTTTAAAATAAATTTAATCTTTTAAAATTTTGATTAAATATTTCAAATTTAAGTTGTAGTTTTGGTATAGTAAACTATCTGCATAGTTTTAATATAAGGGTATTATGTTGAAGGATTTCACTATTTCATCATAGTATTTGAAATAGGAGTTGTATCTTTTTTTGAACATCATGCAAAATCCTCAGTATTTTCTACACTCAGTTTCAGTAGTCTTAACTTTAATTACAAGGAAAGAATCGGATTTGATCTGAGCAGCTAGTAACCAACCTCCATCATATTAATTATAAACTAGATCATGGTGGTTTTTATACTGGACTAAGTGCATAGAATCTCCCACCTCTCAGCAGAACTCACTGACTGCTCAGCATTTTCTTTGCAGGGAGTTGAAAGGACTCAGGGTTTCACTACAGAGAATAAAGGTTTTTATAAAAATACTTGAGTGTTTCCTTTGTCGGAAGCAACTAGCTTTCCTTCTTCGGGACGTAAAAGGCACAATGAAGCAAAGGAAGGTAGGAATTGATCTGAGACACGTAGCATCTTCCTTCAGCCATAGCCCAAGGAAATCTCACCTCCAATTGCTATGGTTTGAATAGTCTCATTGTGTGAAAAAAAAAGAAACTGTAAAAGGTTGTAACGGATTCTGTCTTAAGTTTTTATTCTTGCTGCATTCGTGTGCTGTAAACCGTTGGAAGCAAAGATGTTGTTTGCTTTGCCCACTATATTCGCCAAGTGCCTGGCATAGGCTAGGTTTAAAAGTACTTGCCACAGATATTTGCAGAGTGAACGAATGCCTGAATACAATCCCTAGATCTTAATTTATAATTCCAGAAACAATAGGAAAGGCCAAAGCTTGCGGGTCGTTGTGAACTGCTTCTCATCGGCCTTTGGAGGAGAGGCAGGGGGATTGGCATCTGTCTGCATCATGTCACTGAATGGTCCCCGGTATCTGCCCACAGATAAGAAGTGTCAACGGCTTAACCAAGAAGCTTTCAAAAATAGCACACTTAATGGAACTGGAAATGTGGGTACGCACTAGAAAGGAACCGCTTGCTTTCAGTCTTAAGAAGGGTAGGCTCACAACAGATATTCCTCCCTGAGAAGCCTAGTTTTTAAGACCCACATATAAACGAGCAAGAAAATATCAGATTTAAAGCCTTCCCTCTCCAGAAGGCGTCAATGGGACATCCTATTTTCCAATGAATCAGGTAAAGCATTTTGAAAACTTGAGGATTATGGCAGGGCACACTGTTTCTTTAAGATTCCAGTCCAGTGTGTTTTTTTGTTTGTTTGTTTTCAGGAGTGCTGGGCAGTTTTCCTCAAACTTTAAATGAATGTTTGCACGGCAAACCAAGTGGCTGTGGGTTTCCTGGTTTGTGCCCTCCCCCGCCCCGGTAGGGGTTGGGGGGTGTGGCGACTCAGGCTTGAGTTTTTCATCCTTCTGAGTCCACTCCGGCTGCTGTTAATGCTGAAAATAGCCCGAATGCACTCAGAACAGTAGCACCACCCGGCAAGCAGCTGGGATTCCTTCCCTCTCTTATTTGCTTTCTCTCTTGCCTTTTTTCCCCCTTCAGACACTTGGATTGGACTTAATCTGAAACCTCTGGAGTTCAAGACCTTTTAAAAAGGGCTAAATAAACAATCTCTACATGTAAAGGCCACTGACTCCTACTTCCTCTGTTCAGAGCCACCGTTGAACCCAGCTGCCCGGAGGTAAGAGTTTTCATTCTGGAACTATTTCATTGGTTTAGGATAGGTTTATGACTAATGTTTTTTAGATGGATTATTTATAGTGAAAATAAGCAGGGGCCGCGAACAATGTCCAGGTAAACACGGCGTTCCCCAATACGGCAGGAGCCTCTGTGCATTTGGGGGGCTGGAATTTCAAACCTCGCTGACTCACGTTGACCTGCAGAAGGGACCCGCCTGTGCCGGCTGCCGGCCCCAGAGCTCCCATCGCCCCGATCGCAGGGCAGCAAGCCTTGGAGACATCACACTTTTGTTGTCAGGCTGCTGACTTTTGTCTAACTTTCTAAGGGCATTTTTTTTTTTAAGGAAAAGATGCAACCACCTGAGTAAAGAAAACCTATCAGTCATTGTTCTTCAAGGACAGTGAGCAAGCTCCATTCTATTTTGTCCTTTGATCAACCACTGCTTGCTGGTTCCTAGTGTGGAATTACAGCATTTTGTTTGTTTTGCTTTTTGTGTGTTCCTGGCACAGTCCGAGGATGGCCTGGGTTGAAGAAGCGCTTACCTGGCTGAAAGTCTCTTGCTGGCAGGTCTCTCTGACGTGACAATGTAACGTTCCGGACGGTTTTCCATGCCTCCCACCCACCCCTTGTCATGCTTGCACTTAACATTTTGCCAAGTACTTTGATCTGTGGACTTTAACTTCAAACACAACATTTACTTTGATTGTGGGTATTTACAGCGGTCGGGGAAAAGTCTTTCTGTCGAATGTTTTTCAATCATTTTCTTTAAATAATCCATTGAGCTTTGGGTTTTCTCTCACTGATGTGTCTCAGGTTTTGCTTGTAGGGAGGCCCTAAGTGCAAGGATGGGACCGTGTTAGAGCCCGATTCCCTCCCTACGGGGACTTTAGGGCAAATTCTGCCTCCCCTCAGGCAGCAAAGGGCAGGGCAGAGTCTGACTCGTCAGCCCCTGGCATGACGGCTGCTTCAAAATTACCATGTGCCTTCAGGCCTAACTGTTGCTTTTTTTACCCAGACTCAGAAATCCTTGGTATTTACTGATACTCAGTTCCAAAAAAGTTTATTGATATCATAGTTCACATGCCAAAAGAAAAGCATGGATTTTAAACACCCACTGATTTCCTGGGTAACTTAAAAAAAAAAAAAAGAAATTTTTAAAAAGGAGAACTAGGAAATTAAAAAAAAAAAAAAATCCCTCTGAAGCCAAAAGTCTGTTATGTGAATGAAACTTATGCTGAATGAGGGATAAGGAATGAAAAACATGTATTTCCTAAAATAGTCATTGTAGCACTTTCTAGCCATTCAGTCGACTTTTAAATGTTCTCTTTAAAGAAAATTTGTGTGTATTATTTTACTTGTTTGTTACCCTGTATTCCTCACCCCAGCAAAGAGAGGCCAGTTTCAAAGTTCTCAACTGGACACTGAGTTTGACGTCCCTGGCAAACTGTCCCCATCGGTTCTGTGGAAGGCTAGGGCCGGGAGGAGCCTGATCCTGTCGGGACATATTCAAGTCCCGGTCAAGGACTGGCTCCGTAGAGCTGCCCATTTCCCTTGAAGAAAAGGAAAGATGCAAGTGGCCATCCGAGGAGGCTGCAGAGGGAGGAGCTAGGACGAGGCAAAGGGAGAGGTTCTAGGTGCAAGAGCATCTCTAGAATTGGGGCCAATAGCAGGAAAACTTACAGATGTTCAGTCCAAATTTTATCTCCAAAATCTGGACATTTCATTGCCACTCCCTCTCTACCTTCGAATCTGCATTGTAAGTAGTCAAACTTTTAAACCCTCCAGTTATCTGGGGCATGTACTTCCCTGTCCTTGGGGGTCCAGCCTACTCTCCCCCTTAGTATCAGGGAGCCCTGGTGTGGCGTCACTGGTGCGAACGTGCTGACACAGGTCTCGCAAGCTCAAGGGGCACTAGGGCCAAGTAAGTTGGGAAGAGGGCAGGCAGTCTCTGGCAAGCCATTGTTCCCTCTGTTGTTGTTGTGCTGTGTTGTTTCTTTGTGCCCCTTTACCCCTAAACCCTAAAACTCTGGATCGTTTGAATGTGAAACCCAGCCAAAGCCACGGAGTTTCACACAGGTTCCACATGAAAGAAGTATTCTATCCAGCCTTGCTCGAAACTTGGCCCATGTTTTGCCAAAAGTTTCATGAATGTCAGCGAGCCTGGATTTGAAACATAATCCAAAGCCAGGTGACTTCTAGCGACTTTGAGGCTTAACTGTAGAAGTATAGGATCTGTCAAACAAGGACGTCTGTTATTTTCATATCTTCGATGTAATTTCATGTGTACACATTTTTTTCCCCCAATAAACTCCCATTTGTTCTATGAGGTTTGAAAGCCAGGTTCAATCCTAATATGAATTTTTATAGCTGTGGTATTTAAGCATTGGCAACTACAAGTCTGCATTTTAAATTCCTGCACAGTCTGAACCACAGTGGTGTGAACACGTTGGTATAATTCAGCTGAAGGAAGTCCCAGGAGAGCCATGGAATGTCTTTCTTTGCTTAAATATACCTCTGTGCTTGTGAGGAACAAACAGTAACATTTTGTCCTGGTCTATCCACTCGACAGTATGCTTTTTGTTCGCTCTCCAAAGGTGGTGTCAAATATATTGGTGGAAAAAAATAATAAACTTCCCTATATATATATATATATATATATATATATATATATATATATATATATATTTTTTTTTTTTTTTTTTGCCTGCTCAAGTGATATACTCCTTGGGAACATTGTAAGCATTGAAAGGTTCAGTACTACTACTTGTAATGTATACTGAGAATAAAGGAGTACTCAGCAGAGTCGATTTCCTTCAGAAAAGCTTGGTGACTTAAAGCTGATATGTGTGCCAATAGACAGACCAGGCAGGGTTATTGCGGGGGGGCGGGGGGTGTTCAACAGGGGTAGTGGTGGGTAGAAAGGAAGGAGATTTGTAAACTTTGTTCAGCAAACCTGTCACATATAAAGCAAAAATAATCAAGCCCAGGATCCAAAAACATTCCTTTCTTTTGTTGATCATCTAAATTTGTGTTGGCTGAATATTGTGGGGGGTTTTGTGGTATTATTTTTCTTATTGAGGATACCAAAGATTACGTTCGAATCATAGAATTCCAGAAATGGCAAATACCCTCCAATGAAAATACGACCAACTGAGAGACCCATGCAGTTGTCACTGAAGCTGCTAGAGCCAGTCTCAGAAAGACCTCCATGGTGCCAACGCCCATCGGAGATGCTACGCGCAGGAATCTGCGATTTGACGTGTCATTGTATTAGTTGGAGGGTTTCCGAATACCTTCGAAGGATTTTCATAAACATGAACTTGGGACCTCACTAAAGATTTAGTCAGACTATATTTAGTGAGATTTATAGTTATTTATTATAAAGTTGTCATCAAATTTCATCTTGAAAATTTTGGTGTCATATTTTCGTTTTATAAAATAGCCTTTTTATTAAAGATACCGTTTGCATTTTAGCAGGTGATTTGCAAAATGACTGTGATTGATCCCATACTAAGGGAAGCTATTTGAAAAGCTGCCAGTGACAAAACCAGTGGGTCCTCCTGGTAGCAGCTGCATTTTAACACTGACTTCGCTTGTGCAGCGTTTGCAGTATAGAGCATTTGCGGATTTTCAGTCTGTAGCTGGTGATACCTCGACGTGGCATATAATCTTTCTTGCTTTTTCAGATTGACAGCCTACATATTGCCCTTGCATACTCCCCTGTCCCTCATTTGGAAACAGATTCAATTAAATATGATCAAATCTGTTTTTTATTGTTAATTGTGGTAAGAGATTCAGTCTTAGATGTGGTCCTCAAAAGTCTTAAATGAAGTCCCAAAAGGCAGAAACCTGTTGTTCCTTCCTTCAATAATTGTAAAGATATCCTGCACTATTTAAAATGTGATTGATCAAGGCCATCAAATGCATGAGGGGCTCTGCTGCCAAGCCCGCCGCCTGCTGTGCACTGAGAGCTGTGCCGCAGTGTGGTGAGCGGTCTGGTGGGACAGCCAGGTGGCAGCAGTTGCTGTCAGACCACAGAGCTGGGGATGGGAGTCAGGCATCTCCAGGGCTTGAAAATCCGCGATGCTACCCCAAAGGGAAAAGCTATTTTTGAATTGGGACTTTGGGTCAGACAAGAGGGCGTTCAAAGGGAAGAGGGTGCTTGTGACTATAGGCTCAGAAGAGAGACGGCTCTGTACTCAGGGAATATCCAGACACCGGGCAGGACAGGAAGTTAGGCCTGATGGGCGTGTCCCTGGAAAGAGGCATGTTGGGTTGGCACTCATCGATCGAGAAGAAAGTTCTCACCATTAGGTCCCCATGTTAGTGTTATTGCTGATCAATGTTCAAAATGACGGGAGAGAGGAAACCGTGGACAGCACCTGCTCAGCAGATGTCACTGGGAAGAAGGGGGGCAAAGGTGAGGTCAGCGGTGTGGAGCGGGAGGCATCAGGCCTGCCCTCCAGATGGACTTTGTCCTGGAAACTAAGGCTCTACCTGCAAAATAATTGCATCTGTAATTGTACTTAATATTCGGTATTATCAGAGACAATAAGTTGTATTTTTATTGTTTCATCCAATGCATAGCTATGTCATATTCGACAACGATGTTGATTTTCTTAATCATCTACTTTAACGGAGGGCAGCATTGCCATTACTATGGGGCTAGGCACGCAGGCTCACGCGCCCGGTGCACAGGCCAGGACACCAACACCCAGAGCAGTTGCTGCGCCATCCGCTTTGTATCCCGAGTAAAGAGTGCAGGGCAGATTGATTCTCATGTCAGGATCTCTCAAAGCGCGCCATGCCACCCAGTTATAAAACACAAATATATAGACAGCTTAGAAATAATAGCCAAAGAACGTGTAATAAGAAAACTATTGGTCCAAGTGATAAAGGAGATACTTCCTAATCATTGCAAGTTTTGATTTTCTATACTCCTCTTAGAGAAAAACATAAGCAAAAGGGAGGTGAGGATTACAGAGAAAGATGTGAATGGGC